TGTAGGCGAGACAGGCAGAGATCTTGCAGTCCGCCTGAATGAGCATCGAAATGCCTCTAACAGAGACGATGTAAGGTACGCCTGTGTCCTCCACAGAGACTCCACGGGGCATTTGATGAACTGGAACGAGGCACAACTCGTTCTCACCGAACCAGACCTCAGACGCCGACGGTGCCTAGAAGCCTCACTAATCGCCGTCACCGACACTATAGAACGCAACACTGGAAACTACAAAATTTCATAAACATTGGCATACATGATACTTAAGCAGCACCAACCCAACACAGGAGTCACATGATTTCATCGTCTACCCGTCCTCATCATAGGCAGAGGTTGTTTTGATAAGGACCTGCCTCGCATGGGCCAGTAGGCCTTCTACAGTGTTCCTCCATTCTTATGTTCTTATGACATTCCTCAGGTCACGTGCGTCACATCTCACTCTCCTGCCTATATATATAATGTCTTTCTACCTCTGTATGTTAGAAGTGATCAAGGTCCCAGGACCGAAACGTTTTCTAATAAATATCTTATAGTGTTTGCTTACGTGTCTTTCTAAACCAACTTCTACACTTGCTCCAGCCGTGTTCTTAACTTAGATTCTGTATAAGTGTATAAACACATTTGGAGTTCCTTGCAAAATCAAGGATGGTTTTCCGTTCCCTCTGTGTTTCTTCTTTCTGGTACGACAGCTAAAGTCTCGGTCATCTCTCCGCTGAGATTGTCTTTTAACTCCGTTGTGACATTAACGTTTTTAAACAGTTTGGTAACCCTCTCCCTTGTGTACATTCTTCTACGCTCTCCTTCCATGTGTGATCTTTCTGTAGATGGGCAAGTGGAGGGGCAGGAGGTAATTAACTAGCCTGGGGCGTCGGGGTTACAAGCTCGGTGGTGGTACGAGCCTGGCCCATGACCGGGCTCCGGGAGTCGACTCTCAAAACTCATCATAGTAGTTAGTGGTGGTGGTGGTAGTGGTGGTGGTCGTAGTGATCGTAGCAGTGGTGGTGGTGGTGGTATTGCTGGTGGTGGTGGTATTGCTGGTGGTAGTGGTAGCGGTAGTGGTAGTAGTGGTGGTAGTGGTGGTGTTAGTGGTGGTTGTGGTAGTGGTGGTGGTGGTGGTGGTGGTGGTGGTGGTGGTGGTGGTGGTGGTGTAGTGGTGGTGGTAGTGGTGGTAGTAGTGGTGGTGGTAGTGGTGGTGGTGGTAGTGGTGGTAGTGGTGGTGGTAGTGGTGGTGGTAGTGGTGGTGGTAGTGGTGGTGGTAGTAGTAGTGTAGTGGTGGTGGCGTCAATCTAACAACCCTTCCCCCCCCCGTCCCAACAACCCACTCCTGGCATCACCTTTTGCTAACTGCTAACTACAAAGGCGCCTTAAAAGGCCACACAATGCCCCCTGATAGTCATTACTGGCCGGAACCATTACCCACTGTCAGATGAAAGCGTAAAAAAAGAGGTGGGGGGGGGGGGAGAGTACATGGCTAGACTAGTGCAAGGCTGGAGGGAGGAAAGGTAATGGGGGATAGGAGGAGGGGGGTAAGTGGGAAGATTGGGGAGCAGTAGGCAGGTAGACGCCATTGATGTTGCAGGTGTAGAATACCTGACTTCATAGCAATGGTGGATGAGGGTAGCACTGGTGGATGAGGATAGCACTGGTGGATGAGGATAGCACTGGTGGATGAGGATAGCACTGGTGGATGAGGATAGCACTGGTGGATGAGGGTAGCACTGGTGGATGAGGATAGCACTGGTGGATGAGGATAGCACTGGTGGATGAGGATAGCACTGGTGGATGAGGATAGCACTGGTGGATGAGGATAGCACTGGTGGATGAGGGTAGCACTGGTGGATGAGGATAGCACTGGTGGATGAGGATAGCACTGGTGGATGAGGGTAGCACTGGTGGATGAGGGTAGCACTGGTGGATGAGGATAGCACTGGTGGATGAGGGTAGCACTGGTGGATGAGGATAGCACTGGTGGATGAGGATAGCACTGGTAAGTGGGGGTAGCACTGGTGGATGAGGGTAGCACTGGGTAACAACTGGGCCCAGGTAAAAGTGGCGGGATCAATACACAGCTTTAAGGATAAGTATGACAGGGCTCTTGTGGCCAGAGTATCCAGCAACGGCCAATGAGAGGCGGGGCCAGGAGCTTACACTCAATCTTTGCAACCACTACACCGGATTCGTGTACATGAGGTACTGAAATATGTCAGCCAGAGCTGAGAGACTTCAGCAGTGTCACCCCGAACTGTGAGGCTTCAGCAGTGTCACCCCGAACTGGGAGGCTTCAGCAGTGTCACCCCGAACTGGGAGGCTTCAGCAGTGTCACCCCGAACTGGGAGGCTTCAGCAGTGTCACCATGAACTGAGGGTCCGATATTAGACTACAGCCTCAGAAACTGAGGCAGCTTCAAAGTTTCCACCCTCCCAGCAGGAAATAACGTGAGAGTTACTGCTCCTCAGTACCACCTGGACCACACAGGTGGTGGTAGGTAGGAATGTCAATGGTGGGTCAAGGAAGAGGTGGATAAGCAGCAAAGGGGAGTTGCTTAAGTAAGCGGTGAGTGGCAATATTTGTAGAGGGGGGGGTAGAAGTAGTGGTCATTTACAGAGAGAGAGCACTTTGACCAGCACTAGGTAATAGAGGAGGAGAGATAGGAAGACTAGGTAAGGAGAAAGGGAATAGAGGAAGGCTAGGTAAAGGGGGATGGTGGTAGGGAGGATGAAGAAAGCTAAGAACAAAGGTGGGTGGTGGTGGTGGCTGTAGCAAACGTGACTCCAGGCTCCAAGGTCACCCAATGTTATGATCGTTCCCTTCCTTCTCCCCCCCCCCATTCATACCCTATACCCCCATCCACCCCTTCTCCCAATGCCCCATGCCCCAATCTACCACACTAACTTTGTGGCTGTCTCTCACACGCAAGTCTTTCGTTCCCTAATTCATCTACAAGCTCTCTCTCACACGATATCTCTGATTCACACGATATCTCTGGTTCACACGATATCTCTGACTCACGTTCTCATTCACTCGTTCTCGCTCACTATCACACGCTAATATCTCAGACATACTCACTATCACACAATATCTCTCACCATATCATACGCTGTTTATCTTTCACTGTATCCCATGTTCTGTCTCATTAGCCCATGCAATCTCTCACTGTCACACGATATCTCACAATCACAATATCTGTCACACACTATCTCTCACTCTACCACACGTCTAATCTAGATATTATTAAAGTAGCTAGAAGCAGCTACTCTACTCTCCTCTCTCTCTCTCTCTCTGTATTAATCGTACAGTGAAAACTTCCTGGGTCCCCCCTCCCACCCATGTGGTCCCATCTGCCAGTATCTCTCTCGTCCTCCTGCCTGTTAAAATGCGGGCTGCCAACACTAACAACCTGATTAACCAGACCGTCTACTAGGTCAAATGCAAGATGGAGCCGCGAGAGCGATGAGCTCAGAGAGTATCAGCAGGTAGACAACACAGGTAGGATGAGTAGAAGTATCAGCAGGTAGACAACACAGGTAGGATGAGTATAAGTATCAGCAGGTAGACAACACAGGTAGGTTGAGTAGAAGTATCAGCAGGTAGACAACACAGGTAGGTTGAGTAGATGTATCAGCAGGTAGACAACACAGGTAGGTTGAGTAGAAGTATCAGCAGGTAGACAACACAGGTAGGTTGAGTAGAAGTATCAGCAGGTAGACAACACAGGTAGGTTGAGTAGAAGTATCAGCAGGTAGACAACACAGGTAGGTTGAGTAGAAGTATCAGCAGGTAGACAACACAGGTAGGTTGAGATGTATCAGCAGGTAGACAACACAGGTAGGTTGAGTAGAAGTATCAGCAGGTAGACAACACAGGTAGGTTGAGTAGAAGTATCAGCAGGTAGACAACACAGGTAGGTTGAGTAGAAGTATCAGCAGGTAGACAACACAGGTAGGTTGAGTAGAAGTATCAGCAGGTAGACAACACAGGTAGGTTGAGTAGAAGTATCAGCAGGTAGACAACACAGGTAGGTTGAGTAGAAGTATCAGCAGGTAGACAACACAGGTAGGTTGAGTAGAAGTATCAGCAGGTAGACAACACAGGTAGGTTGAGTAGAAGTATCAGCAGGTAGACAACACAGGTAGGTTGAGTAGAAGTATCAGCAGGTAGACAACACAGGTAGGTTGAGTAGAAGTATCAGCAGGTAGACAACACAGGTAGGTTGAGTAGAAGTATTAGCAGGTAGACAACACAGGTAGGTTGAGTAGAAGTATCAGCAGGTAGACAACACAGGTAGGTTGAGTAGAAGTATCAGCAGGTAGACAACACAGGTAGGTTGAGTAGAAGTATTAGCAGGTAGACAACACAGGTAGGTTGAGTAGAAGTATCAGCAGGTAGACAACACAGGTAGGTTGAGAAGTATCAGCAGGTGACATAATTTAATAAAATATTACCTCTCACTTCTACCACAACATTCCCTCAGACCTCAAGCTAACACAAAATTTATGATGGAAAACTGGTCTGAGACCGGGCTGAAGGGGCCAGAATCCCTGGAACATTCTTACCTGTGATTTACCTGTAACATAATTATGGATCAACACAAAATGTGTACACACACACACAAGAAATGAGATGAGTGGAGGATAATAATCTATACTGGAGAAGTGAGTATTGAATTAGTAATCTAAACTGGAGAAGAGGCGAGTATAACTCGTGTTTAATAACGAGTTTTACACTCGGAAGTTTGGTATGGCAATAGGAAATCCTCTCTCACCTGTCCTTAGCAATTTGTACATGGAATATTTTGAAACAAGACTGCTTAGCAATATCCTTCCCAATAGAGTAGGTGGTACAGATATGTTTTATTGGATAGCGATCTAAATGGGAGGTTAGTAATGGTTAGTGATCTAAGCTGGAGAAGAGGTGAGCACAGGATAATTTAGGGTGGAGTAGAGGTCTTGTGAGTGCAGGATAGTGATCCAAGATATAGCAGAGTGAGAAGGACAACTTACTCTTGAGCAGGGAACGCCAGCTGCCACCAAAGGTCCTCATGGTGGTGGGCTTGACGCCACTCCTACTACCCAGGATATTGACGCCGCTACTGGCGGTGGAGGCGGCGCTGCGGGAGGAGGCGGTGGAAGAGGCCGAGGAGGAGGAGTGGGGGGAGGTGCAGTGGGCGCTGCAGGGCAGACGCGACGGGTGGAAGCAAAATAGACGCAGGTCCTCGGCCGAGGTGGCAGCCGAGTGCAGGTCAGTGAAGGAGAGGGAGCGTCCTGTACCGCTGTACAGCGAACACTTCCCCAGGGACGACCTGTCAAACGACGCCCTTCCCAGGGACGACCTGCCCAGAACCGACATCTCCAGGTCGTCCTCAAGGAGGTCGTTGTCGTCAAAGCCAGGACGCACGAAAGGTGCCCCGGCCAGGGAGGCTCTCAGCTCGGCCACCAGGGCGGCTGCCTCCTCCCCCGCCGCCCACATGAGGGACTCATCACTGCGGGCGCGACTCAGGTCCAAGTAAGAGTAGGTAGGACCCGTGTCAGCGAAACTCTGGTACGTCGAAGACAACTCTCTGGCCTTTCCCGCCCGCGTCACCATCTTGAAGGGCAGAGGAAAAGGTTACGTGGGCGTAGACAAGTGGGTGGTGGGGCAAGGGATTTACGAGTGTGGGCGTCAAGCCTGGGGTGAAGGCTGTCTCACACACACGCGCGACAAACCACCTTCTCCAGCCTCATATTAATTACGTTTCCTCTTGGCATATCCTACGGGCTACCTTATCTGTGGCACTGGTTCTCCTGGCACACTCGTCATCAACTATCAGCAGCCATCGTGGAATTCCACACTTCTCAAGGATTACTATCAAGTTACTCACTCGAGACCTGCTAGTCCTTCCCTGGCGCCTCTCTCAACATAACACAAGCGACCACTTCACGCGCTAAAATGAATCCTTCACATAATTAGCTCCGAAGTTCACCTCTCAACGTGGACAAGAGGTGCGGATGTAACCTTTAACATTTAGCGCGACAACTTATTAATTCACTCAACATGCTCAAATTTAATATATAACACCCTAAAACAGTGGTGACATCACATGTCAACATAAACAACGATATACATCATAGAAAACGGGAAGCTCTCGCTTACATGAGACGGTTTCTTTCAGGGCAGGAGAAATCGGAGCTGGAACAGGTACAGATATCGTTTATATCCCACGAGAAACCAATGCAGTATTGAAATTATTGAGGATGTCCCCAAATACCAAATGTGTACTCAACAGAGAGAGAGAGAGAGAGAGAGAGAGAGAGAGAGGGGGGGAACACTGGAATGGTGAGGATTGAAATGCCAAGGGATACATGGGAGATACTTGCTAATCTATACGAGGAAGGTAGTTGAGGGCTTAGTCCCAAATCGGCACACTACCGAAATTATATACTGGAGTGAGAGATATCGGTGGAAGTGTACAATAAACCAAGTGAAACGCAGGGGCGCCGATGGTCACAGATTATTTAACACTATCAGAAGATATGTGAAACTGGCGGAACAAATGTACAAGTCATCAAGAAGAAACTAGACAAATACCTTCGCCAGGTACCAAATCAACCAGGCTGTGATGGATATGTGGGCCTGCTGGCCACCAGCAACAACAGCCTGATTGATCAGGTAAGCACCAGACAAACCTGGCCCATCGCCTGGCTGCGGGAGTAGGAAAACTTCCCAAGGCATATGAAATGTAAAAGTATGGTATTTTTTATGTTACGGAAGGAATTAATTCCAAATTTGCACACTGAAATCATTCCTACGAAAGCAAGCGACTCCATGCGGTGTGAAATACCCCAAGTGAAAAGTAAGGGTGTCATAAGTATACTAAAATAAAAATCAATAAGTGCAAAAGGATCAAGACTCTTCAAGTTCTCTTCATGCATAAGGTGAATTACCAGCAGACTTCTGGTTGTCTTCAAACGGGAAGTTGACGAGTTCTTAAAGTCTGTTCCTGATCATCCTGGCTGTGGTGTATGCGGTGAACTGCGTACGTCTAGCACCAAAAGCACTGATCAGACCATTAACCAGAAGGCCTGGTCTGGGACAGCCGCGGTATGTATTTCAGGTGCTTTACATTTTATAGACAAAACTACGCCATCACCACCACTAAGTAACCACTGCATAACCATATAAATCACCAACGCCACCATAATCACCATAACCATAAACAACCACCATCACCAATAAGTAACCAATACATAACTATTAGTCCAGGCAAAAACGCTCCATGTGATTGCATTTGCTTGGATCTCCTCTTTTTGCAACATTGCAAGGTCTTGATGTACTGACTGCAACATTAACATCACTAGGTAGGTAGGCCTAGAGCTATAATTCAACTCCCTGTAGGCATCAAACCTTGTCAGACGGGCAGTGGTGCCTACGTTGAAATGGTAGCACAAACTACTTGATAGAAGAATGGAGGAACATTACAGCAGGCCTTCTAACACATACTAGGCCAGTAGGTATGGGCCTAGTATGACAAGGCCATCTAGCAGGAGGCCTGGTCTCGGCTGTGACGACCATGATCCTCGAAATCGACTACAGGTAGATCACAAGTACACAGATCATTATCCGACCACCACTTGTGCTAATGCCATCAGTCCTGTTCTGAAGTCTTACAGAAACACTTGATCAATTAATTTAAAGTTCCATAAAGTCCAAATTACAATACAACAATACGGAACTTTAGTCCACTCCGCCTTCAGCTAAGATATCATGACACTGAAGCCTCCACACGGTTCAGAAGCCTCCCTGTGATATACCTTTGACCGGTGTCGAGAGTTCTAGCCCGCAGCCCTGCCTGAGGCCAGACTGCCCTGCTGACCACCTGCTCCACCAGGCTGTTGGTGCTACCGGCCCGCAGGCCCCTGTCATAGCTACTTAATATCGTAAATCATGTTAACACTGAACCAACTGAAGCACTCGTAAGGGTGAAAATGCCACATTAATGGGAATGGTATCACCGTTATCGTCTGGTGGGGCTTGACACTGTCTTGAGGGTTGCCCCCATGCACCCACTGGTAAGTGGGAGAAAGAAGTTCTCTACTTTCATGGGGGGGTGTGCTTCACTGCCCCCTCCAACCCCTCCCCCGTCAATGGAAGTGCCTTGATACTAGCAAAGGGCTCTAGATCCCAGGCATTAGATACCATCTCATTGCATCAAACCTGTTTACCTCCCATTCCCCCTGAAGCTGTAAGAATCCTAAAGGTTTAGCTCTTCCCCATACTGATAATAAAGCTACCACCTTCCCAACAGCTAATTATTTACTATATTTGTGAAATGAGTAATGGTGGAGGCTCGATACTCAGTCCGCTCACCACCAAACAAACACTCTACTCTTCCAGCTAAGCTTCCTCAGCCGTCTTGTCTTAACGTGATTGTTCATTAAAGTAACAGGTCTATACCAGTACAGTACCAAGAATACTTTCAAACCAATAAGCGAGATTGATTAAACTTCAGTGTATATTCAATGAAATGTACACTTCTCGGTGGCTATACAATGATACTGAACACAACTCAACAGTATACACCATGACTGATAAAAAAAAAAAATCCAGTGCCTGTTGACTTGGTTGTTTTGGGTAGTGAGTCAGCGAGGTCATGAGGGAGGTTAGGACTGAGGGACACCCAACTGCTGTGTTATATTGTCACAAGTGACATGAATGTGTAATGACTGTGTTCATGATGACCTCGCATACTACTGTTCACTTGTTCACTACAACCGTATCCACAGAACTTGTAATATTTTATGCATTTACTAAAATGTACACGTGTGAGTGTTTTATCTTCTCTGAGGCTGTAGGTACCCAGTCAGCTCTAGAGGTGGTGCCTCATTATATTTATATATAATGCTCAGACACCCTCCACAGACAGGAAAGTGGTTTGCAAAGCTTTTCACATCGCTAAGGATTTTTCACTAGGCTAGGGAAAAAACACGAAAAATGTATGAAAATAGCGAAGAGCAAGTGCAGAAACTAAGCTTATATCAGCTCAGCATCATGGTAAAAAGATAACTTTGAAAGTACTATATTTATATTATAAATACTTCAACTTGGCAATTGAGCTTCGGGATGCGTATACCTCAGAGAACTCTGGTAGTGGACTCACATTTGGGTTGACATGCAGATTTTCTTACCCAACTTAGCATCAAACGTGCTCCAACTGCAAACACTGAACGCGAAAAATATATAGAGCTGGTTAGGGCAGAGGCAGGTAGGTACCATATTGGGAGGAAATTTAAAGACCCCAAACTGGCTTCTTGAAGTAAACAAAGAGAGTGGCAGCCACCACGGATACCTTCTGAGTTGCCTCAGAGAATTCCCCCCTCCTATCTGTTGCTGTCTTGCAAAACTGCATAGCTCGTGATGACGCACGACAGCAAAAGATCTAAAGACTTCCAACTCCGTGTGGCTTGTTCTGCATTGTTAAGATCGCCTGTTTGCGACTGCATTAGCATAGACAAAAAAAAAAAAAAAACCCTGGTACCATCTTCCACTGATGATAATTGATGTGACCTTCAATTGTGGTCCACTGATATTAAAACCGATATAAGGCAAACAGTAACCTCTCGCAATAGAATTTCTTTCTGAATTTAAAACTATTGCTCAAGACTATCGAGGAGCGCATGCACGCACGCACATACACACACACCCGAACCCCCTCCCCCCATTTTTAAGAAAGGAGACAGAAACGAAGCACTAAACTTTAGACCAGTGTCACTGACGTGTATAGTACGCAAAGTCATGGAGAAGATTATCAAGAGAAGAGTGGTGGAGCATCTAAAATGGAACAAGCTTATAAATGACAACCAGCACAGATTCATGGAAGGCAAATCCTGTGTCACAAGCCTACTGGAGTTTTATGACAAGGTAACGGAAGTAAGACACGAGAGAGAGATGGATGGGTAGATTGCATATTCTTGGACTCTGTGAGGAACTCTGCCTTCGACAGAGGTCCTCACAAGAGATTAGTGCAAAAGATAGAGGATCAGGCACGTATAACAGGAAGGGAACTGCAATGGATCAGAGAATACCTGACAGGAAGGCAACAATGAGTCATGGTACGTGAGGAGGTATCACAGTGGGCGCCTGTAACGAGCAGGGCTCCACAGGGGTCAGTCCTAGGACCAGTGCTATTTTTGGTATGTGAATGACATGACAGAAGTGTTCCTGTTTGCAGATGATGTGAAGTTAATTAGGAGAATTATATCAGATGAGGACCAGGCAGGACTACAGACCTGGACAGGCTGGAAGCTTAGTCCAGCAACTGGCTCCTCGAATTTAACCCCACCAAATGCTAAGTTATGAAGATCGGGGAAGGACAAAGAAGACCGCAGAGTACAGGCTAAGTGTCCAAAAACTGCAAACCTCACTCAAGGAAAAGGGATCTTGGGGTGAGTATAATACCGAGCACATCTCCCGAAGTGCACATCAACCAGATAACTGCTGCAGCATATGGGCACCTGGCAAACCTGAGAATAGCGTTCCGATACCTGAGTAAGGAATCGTTCAAGACTGTACATCGTGTACGTCAGGCCCATACTGGAGTATGCAGCACCAGTTTGGAACCCACACCTAGTCAAGCACGTCAAAAAAATTAGAGAAAGTGCAAAGGAAAATCGGCCTGACGACATTGGAGGACAGGAGGGTTAGGGGAGACGTGATAACGGCATACAAAATAATACGAGGAATTGACAAGGTGGACAGAGACAGGATATTCCAGAGAGGGGACACAGAAACAACGGGTCATAATTGAAAGTTGAAGACCCAGATGAGTCAGAGAGATGTTAGAAAGTATTTCTTTAGTCATAGAGTTGTCAGGAAGTGGAATCGTCTGGCAAGCGATGTAGTGGAGGCAGGAACCATACATAGTTGTAAGACGAGGTATGATAAAGCTCATGGAGCAGGGAGAGGACCTAGTAGAGATCAGTGATTAGGTGGGACCAGGATCTCTCTCGACCCCTGCA